TAACGATATTGTCAGTTCGCCACAACAGACCGATTTCCTACCTATCTTCGCATCGTTTGATGCTTTGCTGCATGATCTTGAGTGCTCTTACATTTTCTCTACTCAGTCTATCTGGCGTGAGCAATACTCCGAAGCTTTCAGTAGAAAATGACTTTCTTACCATTTTTTGCAAATTTTCATCTGGATCTGATTCGCAAATATGCAAGGTATAATGAGATTCCCCAGACATTCCAACTTCAGAATTGGTCACACCATGAACAGCCCATCCTAATTTGCATTTACTTGCCAAAGGAGAATTTTCTGGACCACACTGTATCTGCCGAGCAACGATAAGATCGATGTTGTCCTGTCCAATCAGGAGAACAGGTTTTTCATTGCAAATATCTTTTATTGGTATATTTCTCAAATGCGGAAATTTTGACGTTTCTGTCATCTTGACGTTTTGTGAAGGCAGCGACAAATTGTTTACTGTTCTAATACCTTTCATTATGAAAATATTTTTCTGGTCATCGCTCTTTGATATATTCAGGTGAATTTTCATTGATTCATTTTGCCATGACTTCTCATCATTAGTCCATTGTAAGCACAAAGGTTCTGTGAAGCCGGGTATTCCAAGTTGTTTAGCAATCTTTTCATCAAGTAAAGTCACTGTCGATGCCTTATCACATTATGCCAATACCTCAATTGATCCTTCTTTACCATGTATCAACACAGTGAGTACTCTCAACTGTATATTTTTCTCGCTGGATCTCAGTGTATATATAGACTGTTTCTGGATTTGCTTCGTCTCGTTCACTAGGGCAATGAAACGTTTGCGGAATATTTCTGTGTAGTAGTCGATGGTGGAATAGTTTACAGCCTTCACAAGGTTTCCTTGTCCTGCATTTGAACTTATGATGATTTTTTTTGAAACACGAAAAGCACGGTTTGTTTTCCGCAACGATTTTCCTCCGTTTATTGACGTCATCGTTTTCCAAATATCATGGACATGAGCTTTTTCGTTGCAATAAAAACAGTTTTTCTCTTGAAAGCTCTCTTTGGAGAAAAGTACATTTTCAGTCATTTTAGAAAAATATTTTTGATCAAATCTTTCAGAAACTGAATGAGTACTGACATAGCAGACAACTTCTCCCACCCATTTGGCAAAATCTTCCAAATCCAACTTTCCATTTCCTTCAATCATTTTCTCGCCCCATTTCAGCCTCAAATGATCAGGTCTTTCAGCAGCTGTGGATTCTGAAGATGTCCTGGGGATTCGAGAGTTTTCATGATTGCAACCATATTGTTTATTTCACTGGAGAATTGTATAAGTTTCTCAAAATTTGAATCTTTCAGATAGGGAAGAACTATTACTTTGGATATTAGACCATCGATAAAAAATTCAGGTCGCCCAAATCGTAATTCAAGGGTTTGCATAACCAAATTCATATTATCTGTTGCATAATTTCTCCATCACTTAAGTCACATAGACTGCAAATATTTTTGAAGTGTTTGTGAAACAAATGCCATTCTTGTGGATTATCATCATAACAAGGAAAATCATTTTCAAAAGAATTTCGAATTGAGAACTTGTTTTGATTATTCGCATTCGGATTTGAAACTGTCTTGATGGCATTCGAAATGGTTTGACAAAGTAATTTAATTTCACTGATAGCTTCTTTTCTATCATCGCTACCTCTTGTTTCTTCATATATGCATTCTTCTGGGTGGTTTTCTATCCATTGATACACTCTTTGTTTCGTTTCTTTTACTCCATCGGTGGTACTTGAGCTATTCAATTCGAATTCTTCTTTCTTTTACTCATTTTCAAATGCTAATGCTTTCGGTCTATGCTTAATTGTGAATGTAGAGTGAAAACTTCACTCATTTTGTCTCTTGATTGTTTCGATTTCATTGAAACAGGATTTGACGGTATACAACTTCTTTCTTTGCCAAATTTATCGGGCCAGATATAGTCATCATCAAGATTCCTGTTCATCCCTGCAGTTCCTCCACTAGGTCTGTTCAGCAAGGATGTTTGTTAATTTATCGACGCATCTTTGTCCATGTCGTGCGTTTGTCGGGGTTACCAATGTTAAGACTCTAGTTATTTTTCCTTTCAGGAATCGTCAAAAAAACTGTATTTCAGTCTAACAAAATTTCAATGACTTTTCCAAGTCCAAGAGAGACTGACAGTCTCTCTTTTTTATTAACAACTATATGGCGAGCAAAAAAGTATAAAAACAAGCAACAAATTGAATAATTGGAAAATCCGAATGACAAGCTTCAACAAACTTCTTTCAGAAATAGTCGGCCAAAATTGGTATTCACAGCATGAACAATCTTTGAGGGACCTGAATGTCAACACCATGAGATTGTGTGCATGAGCCATGGAAGGAGGAACAATTATAGTCTGTATTTCTTAGTGAACACGTATAGTCCGTATTTCTTGGTGAGCGCAACCCGCTAACATCCCACGGAACGTTTCCCACCGCCCCTACCAGCGGACCGGTGGGCGCATCTGTAAGAAGAAGAGGCCTTTATCTACTCCAACCTCCAGGTGGTGGAAATCCTGGAATACTGACGTATTGTTATATAAAATTTTCAATGAACTATTTTTCATTTTGATTTTTTGGTTTGTTCCACTCATTCAATTGACCGTCAAGTGAAACGATGGTTTAAGTCGCAAGCTGGATTTTACTATTGAAGGTTGTCGTTTGTAAGGGAGAAAAAGAAGAAGACAAAGACCAAAACGAGATATACATTATCCAATGCTAGGACTGCAACAAATTCTATATCGGCCAAACCAAAAAAAAACTGATCCAAAGGTATAATGAACACAAAAAGGCTTACATAAATCCAATAGTATATTAATCAAACCACGCCATACAAAACAAACATAATTTTCCCCCACCAGAGAACATAAAACTCATAAAACAAGTCAACAAGGGAAACCGCATGGACATTTGGGAAAACTTGAACATCCATAAATTTAACAGTCATAAATCACTTATCGAGGAACAAGTACAAATCAAAACACAACAAGACCTCACATTCAATATATTAAACAAAACCATACACATTCCTAGAGAAGATCT